TAAATTATTAAAAATAAGTAATTAACAAAATTTTTACACTAATTTTTAATTTATATGACAAAGTTCAATTTATTTGTTAAAATTCACCGTTATAGTACAATTTGTATTATTAACAATATTGATTCCTGATGTGGATGGAACATTCTCATCAGAAACAATAGTATTTATTTCTGTATTCTTATTTTGTTGCAATACTTGTACAAAATTCTCACCACCTTGAATCATTCTTGCAATTTTCGTTTTTCCTTCAAGTGTATCTTCAACATATTTTTCTGCTATAGCAGAACTTTTCCAACCCCCATGCCGTTTTAAGATAGATGAATCTACACCTGCATTTGCAAGAAGAGTTGCAGAGGTCCGTCTGAAACAGTGACCTGTAAACTTTTCAGGATTTGGAAGTTTCAAATATTCTGCTATTTTTCTGGGCATTGCACCTATAGTATGAATTCCTACTCTTTGTTGGATGCATTTACCATTTCGATACCCAAGAAATAAAAAGTTTTCTTCAAAATTTTTAGGTCTTAGGGGAAGATATTTCCGGTATATTTCCAGAAAATTTATTACAGTAAAAACACGTCTTACATTAGTTTTAGTTTGCGAAATCGTGATTACCAATTGAGTTTCCGTGTCTTTTGGTTGTCATTGAGAGTCATAGAATACAATTCTTCCCGCCGACAACCTCCAGCAATTCCAATCATAGCAATAACTTTGACCAACAAATAGACTTATTCAGATGCTTTATTGAGAAATAAATTTACTTCATCTCTCGTCAATACCTTTGACTGCATCGGTTGATGTCCAACACTACATTTTTTTAAGAAAGCGATGATTTTCGGGTACTTGCTGATATTCACGTTCTCTTTAACTAGTAACATTGCCTTTAGCATAGAATATTTTGCCCACAAGGAATTGCTATTTATTCTCTTTGACTATAAAATAAAATAAAATTAATACATATTGATCCAATAAAAATTATTTTAAAAAAATCATGCAGATCATACTTACTTCATCTAGAAAATAAGCCAAAAGAACATCTTCCTGTATGGTAGTCACTTTATGAAATTGTTTCCATTCACAAAACAATTTATATTCTTTGTTATATCTTGGTGAAGATTTTGATGGGATTAATTTATTTGTTGCTTCTGCAGCCTTATTTAAAATATCATCCATAACCTCCATAATTTGAAACACAAATATTGCGATCTTGTCTATTTGTTATAGTGACAAGCAAATGGCAATCATAGGTAATGATGTGAAATTGCCAACTATTTTCTTTTTTAGTTTTAATCAACATATTTATTTTTTTATAGAGTATTATAAAGACAGGATGAAATAAAATATCATACGATACACGTCCGTTAGGTGTTATTACAGTACTCGTTTATATTCCGTACTATACCAACTCGTACTGTAATAAGTCACCTACCGGACTTGTAACGTAAAATACTATTCTAGGATTATTGCGGCACACAAGGATTATCAAGAATGTAATTTTTGTAAAAACAAAAAAAAATAAAACTGTTTGCTTGGACGTAAATTTAATCAAAATATCTTTCAAATGACTTTACTTTCCATTAGAAAATTTAAAGATAGTAACGCCCTCTATTTTACATCTCAAGTAAAGTGCATCTCATAATAACAAATTTATAAATTTATATATTTATATAACATTTTTTCAACAAGGAAAACTACACGTTGATAATTATTTTAACTACTTAAATGTAAGTATTGCTTAGCCAGTCTAATGGTTTCGACGGTACAACTCAACAAACATTACTAAAGACGTAAGAGGGACTTAAGTTTCCAGTGGAACTTAAGATGTGTTGTTAGAAACAGCAATAAGTATCGAAAGTAATAAGACGATGAACGATTTAATAAGGCCTCGATAATAACCTTGAATTTATCTATTAGCGTTTTCGATTCTATTGCTCTTTCCCCGAGCCAGTTACTCCGAAATGACGTCACAATTCGCTCTACGGGCACTCCCGTTCGTTTTCAAAGCAGTTTTAGAATCGAACAGAGGATTCAAAAACAACTGTCAACTGTCACTACACGTGTTTTGACACTTTTGACTGTTTTGGGAATTTAACTGTTTTTGTGTTTTTATTTGTGAATTATTATTTAATTAAAATCAAAAATTTGATATGGATTCAGACCATTCTGCAGTAATCCTTACTCTAAGTTGAAATCCAGCAAGCTGCATGGAGGAACACATCAAAAGTAAGAAGATTAACAGCTGGAAAAAACTATCCTGTCGAGATAAGAGAACAAGTAGCAGAAAAAAGAAAACTAAGAAAGAAATGGCAGATGACAAGATCACCAGAAGATAAAAATATATTAAATAGGGCTACCCAAAGACTGAGAAGAGAAATTCTAAATCACAAAGAAGAATCCTTCAACAGATACCTAGTAGGGCTAACAGATGATAAAGAAACTGATTATTCACTCTGGAAGGCAACTAAAAAGATGAAAAATTCGTGTAAACACTGTCCTCCTATCAGAATAGTAGATAACAAATGGGCAAGAGACAATCAACAAAAAGCTGATATTTTCGCGACCACCTACAAAAGACGTTCCAATTAGATGAAAATCAAGACACTCCTAATGAGACCATCCATAATATGGAACAACTTAAAATTAAGCTAGTTACTCCCAATGAAGTTACGAAAGAAATTCAGACAAACATCAACTCACAGCAGAAAGCCCCAGGATATGACCTTATTACTGGAGAAATATTAAAGAAACTACCGCGGAAGGCTATTGTTAAATTGACATACCTCATAAATGCAGCATTTCGCCTTAAATATATACCTGATGCGTGGAAAATGGCTGAAGTTATCCGAATTCCTAAGCCGGGAAAACCTCTGAATGAAGTGTCGTCATATAGACCTATATCATTGTTACCGATAATATCTAAGTTATTTGAAAAACTGTTACTAAAACGACTAAAACCAATAATTGAAAATAAAAATCTGATCCCTTCGCACCAATTTGGTTTTAGAAACAAACACTCGACAATAGATCAAGTACACAGGATAGCCGATATCATCGAAAAAGCGTACGAAGAAAAATATATATGCTCAGCTATATTTCTTGACGAATCCCAAGCATTTGACAAGGTCTGGCACGCTGGCCTAATACAAAAACTTGAAAAAATGCTCCCTAGACAATATGTCGACATTCTACAATCATATTTAACGGGAATAATGTTTAGAGTGAAGCAAGACGCGGCATACTCCGAAATGAAAGAAATTAAAGCAGGTGTCCCACAAGGCAGTGTGCTAGGACCGGTTCTTTATTTATTATACACCAGCGATATCCCTATACAACAATCTGTTAAAATAGCAACATTTGCAGATGACACTGCAATATTGGCAGTTGGCGGAACTAATACAGAGACCTCAGAAAAACTTCAGGAAACCTGCAACAGAATTAATCGATGGACAAAAAAATGGAAAATAAAAATAAATCAAACTAAACCAATGCATGTTGATTTTACTCTTCGACCAAATGAACAAAAACAAATAAGAATAAACAATGACGTTATTCCGCATCACGATTCGGCCAAATACCTAGGGATGAACCTAGATGTAAAACTTAAATGGAAAGAGCACATAAAAAAAGCGTAAAGAACTTGAACTTAAATTCAAAAAAATGTATTGGCTCCTAGGAAGAAAATCCAAATTGACAGTGCACAACAAACTGCTGATTTATAAACAAATCCTAAAACCAATCTGGATTTATGGCATACAGCTATGGGGATGTGCCAGCAAGAGTAATATCAACATGATTCAAGTTTTTTTTATAAAATAAAGTCCTAAGATGCATTGTTGATGCACCTTGGTTCTACCGAAACGATTATCTTCATAGAGACCTGAAGATGCCAACAATCGAAGAAGAAATAAAGAGGTTTGCTGCGAAACATGAGGGTCGACTCCACTCCCACGTCAACGAAGAAGCGCTGCAATTACTGGACAACTCTACACTCAACAGAAGGCTCAAAAGGAAGAAGCCATTTGAGCTAGTGCAGTGAACGTTAATGTTAGTGCTAGTGTAAAACAGTGTAATAAATCTTCACGCCAACTTGTGATGCTTTCCTATAGAAACAATTAAGACAGCCCAATGGGGACTTCTTAGATAAGTAATTAGTTTGTAAGATTTTTAGATTAAAATTGTAGGTTAGTCAGTAATGACCAGTGACAATACTCTAACAAAAAAAAAAAAAAATTAAAATCAAGAATGAACGCTAATGATGAAACTTTAGCTCCTTGCGATGTATGTGGTTTCATAAACTATTTATCCGTAGTCAACGATCATTTCAAAAAGAAACACTCTAGAAATGATAAAGTAGAAACGATCACTCAGGATACCCAGGAGCAGGCAATAAGTGATGCTTCCACAGCTGAATGTAAGGAAACATCAAGTATTAAATTAATTTTAAAGTAACCAATTTTTTTATGGCCGAGAGTCATGCGGTAGCTTCTGGAAGTCATTGTGGTACAGAAGAAAATAATTGTAAGAATTTCAATATTACCTATTCAAATATATAATTGCCCAATTTTTATTGTAATGGAATTTATTAACAAAATTTCAAAACTTGGTGTTGTCTTTAGTACTAATAAACATTAAAATATTGTTTTAGCTTCCTGGAATGATCTACAGACGAGGCTACTTTTGGATAAGTATGAAGAGTACATGGATGCTGTAGGACCACTAAAAATTTTTAAAAACAAAAAAATTATGTAGCAATACATAGCCAAAAACATGTTAAATGTATTTGGCATTGAGAGATCAGGGCCTCAATGTGAAAACAGATATAAAACTGTTATGAAAAGAAAAAAAATATTTCGAATTTAAATGAAAGGAGTGGAGAAACGGAACATACATTTACGTTTAAGGCAGAAGTAAAAAAATTGCAAACAAGGACGATAACGTCTAACCAGAGGTACTAATGGACCTAAATAATATTATTATAAACAAAAAGGAAAAAAGAGGAAATAATGAAAAAAAAAAATAGGAAAAAAAGTGTCGTAGATACTTTATGGGACATCCATAAAGATAAAGAAGAAAGAAAATATAGGAGACACAGAGAAAAATTAGCTCTTCTCAAAGAAATTGGTATGTATGATGTAATCAATACATATTTTTTTAAAGTTTGAGGCCTGTTGAAAGCTTGAATTATCAATAGGAAACTAATCTTTATTTCCTACTATGTAAATTACATGATTTATATCTGGCCGCATCACAATTATTTTTTGTTAACTAGGTACTTTTAGTTATATTTGCATTATATTCTATTCATGATCCAAAACTTCTTCGAATAATTAGTACTTGAGGTTTAAAACAAGTTTTACGAACTCAGTCTATTAATTGTAATTTTTGTTTGTTTTAGGTTTATCTAAAGAAGACACATCAAAATAAACTTCTATATTATATTAAAGTTTGTTTTTTTTATATTACCAATAAATTAGTTTTGTTTTTATTACTCCACTTTTCAAACTTTTATGTATTTTTTTTAGTTGTTTTTGTTTTTATTTATATTTTATGTTTGTGTTTCTGTACATATATTTATTTACTTGTATACTTATTTATAGTTTAGGTTTAAAAGTTTTTTATATCTGTTTTTGTTTATTTTGTTTCAGTGTTTTTTGTACATATATTTTCTTATGTACTTATTTATAGTTCAGTTTTATGTTTTTGTTTGTGTTTTTTGTATGTATATTTATTATATTTAAAACGTTAAATAAATGTGATAGAACAATTAATTATTTTATTGAAATAAAATTTATTTACCTAATTTATATATACACAATAAAAAAACATTTATCTAATATTGAACAATATCTCTGCTAATTCATCCCTTTTTTGTTCTCCCAGTTCTCTTAACAAATCCCTGGGTTAATCTGGTGTTTCACCTTCATCATTTACTGCATTTTCTTCTTCCCTGAATCTGTTTTTCAGTAATTCAAAGGCATTTTCTATCACTACCCTTGTTTGGGATAGTTTCAAGTTAAAATTTATTTTTTCTGGAGTAAGATTTCCATAATCCCTATATGGCGTAAGGAGATAAGGGCATATGGGATAAGCTGCATCTCCTAGCAAATTATATCTTCCATCTATTGCTTCTATGGTCCTCTTAATAAATGATAGGGAAAATACTTTGCTGTCATGCATTTTACTTGGAACCCCAGTAAAAGTATTTAAATTTTTTTTATTTTTGTCGCAAATACCCTGTAAAGTTACAGCTGTTTGGTGATGCCTGTTGGTGTACGTGCTTCTTATTTTGTGGCTAGGTGTCCTTATGTTTATGTAGGACCCATCTACACAACCAATTACATTTGGAAAGCCAGAGATCTGAAAATATAAGGATTTTAAATTATTTTACAGAATGTTGCTAAATAAAAACAGGTAAGGTATATTTTTTAGTGTAATTAAAAATCTTACCATTTCAAATTCAGCAGAAACAGCAACTTTCTCTTCTTCAGTAGAGGGAAATTTGATAATGTCTTTTCCAATACTTGTGAGAAAATCCATTACTCTTTGACAAATAATAAAAGCTGTCGATTCACTGACATTAAATAAGTGAGACACTTCCCGTAGAGTAGATTTGTTTCCAGCAAACCTGTGTAATAAAAAACATGTAAATAAATAGTAATAAACATCTAAACAAAATTTGTAATTACCACAAAAATAAATAAATGTGAACATCTGATGAAATATTCGATTTTCCACCACCATTTCTGAGTTGTCGTTTTGGATAAAAATCAGACGATTTAAAAGCATCGACCAAAAAATTAAAAGTTGATGGTGCAATACGAAAATTTCTTCTAAACTGAAAATAAAATAATATTTTTTAAAAAAGTATTTAAAAAAATGCAAACAAAATCACAAACCTCCTCTTCATTATACTGATGAATAACATCAATAAAATTTGTTATTCGGGGTCTTCTTCTTTGGTTTATTAATAAGTATGGGAGAATCTCATCATCTGAACTCTCTGAAGAACATGATAATAGTTCAGAAATTAACATTAGTTTCCGATTATTATCCATTTTAAATACAAAAGAAACGCCAAGCTAACAATAAACAACGCCAAACCAACAAAAACAATAAATACTCAATAAAATACAGCAAAGACTACACAACAAAATACACAACCACACCCCAAACAGATTATGTATTATTATTATTATTATGCTGATTATGCTGTGATACTACTACCCCTACTACCTAACCTTCAAATGTACTAACTGCTCGACCTTTTTTTACAGAGCAATAATATTTGCACTGAGAGCGACCTGCGAGCGAATTGCACCTAGAATCGAACACAAAACTGGAAGTGCACGGCTCTCGGTCTGATAGAATCGAACAAACAAACATGATTTCATGTGCACTCAGTGCAATTCGAGCAGTGGAATCGAAAACACTATATGAATGCCGAATAATGCTTATTTAGGAAATTGGTAGACTTTAAAAGCATAAACTTCTGAAGATAAATACTTAATTATGAAATAAAAAGCTTCGTCAGCTAGATAATATATTAATGAAATATTAGAATCGTTCGTGAACATATTTTAAGGGCAACTAGTTCACAGTTTTCATTTCTTTTTCTTCAATTTCACGAAATCATTTTAACCTCTAGCATACGGTGATTGAACATTGGTATCTACGTAGTATGTGCCATGGGCTCTAAAACAAAAAAAAAATGCCAAAGTTACAAGGTTTTACACATTTAAAATGAGATGTTGACACACTCAACACTTAAGATATATATCCCAGTCTGACTCTGTACGTTTGAATTCTCGAGGCCTTACCAATGAGGTTGAATAATAAAAATATGGAGATGACATACCAAAAAAAGTGACAACCCTTCCCCCTTCCTTAGAAGCGATAATATAGTTGTCAAATAGCTGTCAAAATTTAAATATTTCAGCGTTAATTCTGTCCTAGACAGTATTTTTTATTTATTATTTTGCATAAAAATCATGACCAAGTGTACTATTATGTATATTATTATGCAACGATAATGTATTAATAGCTTAATAGCCATTACATGAGAGTTGCATACACCATTTTTTCTACGACCAAGAATCTATTTCAATTTAACAACATTGATTTATTTTTTAATTTTTTAATACTTTTTTATACAAAAAATAAGAAATAAAATATTGAAGAAAAATAAGTTCTTTGCCTTAATTAATATTCCTACACAATAACCAATATAATAATTATGATGATTTCAGGTGGTGTACATGAAAACTCTTCGTCGCTCGACATTTTTTTAAAAATAAGTGAGAGGTACCTACCTATCTACCTTTTTGACTAACGCAAAAGATTGAAACTGTCATAAAACACGAATCTCTTAGAAACTGTCAAACATTCTACAGAACATATTGGGTCTTTCTACTTGATTATTTAAAAATCTAGATTTCTATTGGTCAATTTTTTAGTTTCATAATGAAAACCAGTGTTATATTGAGTATCATTATGAAACTTAAAATTAGCATTTAATTATCAAATTATAGTATAGCAGTAAGTAATTATAAAAGATATAAAATGAAGAAATGGAAGAAAAGGTCTGATTTAAGTTTTTACAAGTAAGTTTGACTCCATTAAATACGATATACGTAGATATAGGCAGTGATTCAACTGCAACAAGTATTGTTCCAGTACTGCATGAACTTCTTCCAGATAACAGATACAAAGGATTATTTTCTTTGATAAAGAGTCAGTTTCCCGATTTGACCCCAAAGTATTTTAAGACCGACTTGAAATTGCTGCAATAGAGGCCATAAGAAACATTTTTCCATCGACCATCATAGCTGGGTGTATGTTTCAGTTTAATTAAAGGATATGGAGAAAATTGTAAGAAGTCATATTGGTTTATTCACATTTTTACAACATATTTCTAATTAAGCTTTAGAAAATGGTTGGCTATTTAATATGGAAAATTTACCGAAATGTAAAAAATTTAAAAAAATTAAGTTACTTTTTTGTAACCCAGATGATCGAGAATGAAAATATAGAAAAAATTGAAGTTGTCAAATAATAATTATGCAATTATAGAACTTTATATACATTTTAATGTGCATTGCACCTAGCTACATTTCAGCAAACCAACAATTTGTCTTTATTATTAACATAAGTAAACTTAAGAGGCTTAAAACTAAGAGTTCGCCCAATGGTATCTTTTCCTTTCTCTTATGATGAACTAACTATACACTGCACATGCGCACTGTGCTCTGCTTTTACATACTTTCACATCCCTAATTCAAATGGTTTAACGTGATCATGCAGCCTTTTTTTATATTTTTTACGATGGTTTTCCTCTCTTCTTCGATTGCTGGCATTCTCAGATCTCTGTGAAGGTCTGAGTTCCTTACTTACTAAGGGGCGTTTACTATTGCCCTTAATATTTTATTCCGGAAATGTTCCAGCGCTGTATGCCGTAAGTTCATTCCATACTGACTTCAGTACTTGTTTATGTATTAAAAGTATATTTTCAATTGAGTGTTTTAATTTTCTATTCATCAACCAGTATAATTTTCTATATTTTATACCCAACTCTTCCCGTTTTTTTTATTTATGTTCTTTCCACTTTAATTTTATATCTACAGTGAAACCTGTGTAAAACGGAATCGCACGGTCGTGCACCGATTTTCCGGCATATACAGGATTCCGCGTTACACAGGGTAGATAAAAAATTGCACATAGTAGATTTAAAAAAGTGATGATTTTATTAAAAAAAAATCTAATATACGTACATTTAATATATAGTTGTTATTATTACTATGTACCTACATATTTTTATTTATTATTAGAAACAATATAAATTATTATTTATTTCACATTTCTATCAATGTAAGTTGTTTTTTATTCTTTTGTAATACGTAAGATGATTCCATGAATGTCCTTAATTCTAAAATCTTCTTTCTCATCGGTTCGCTCTCTATTCTTTGGGAAAAATCCTCTAACGCTGCAACACTCCTCAAAGCTTCAGAAAATTTTTTTTATCCGATCGGATTCTTCAACTTCTGTTCCTGTAGATAAAAATAATAATTTAAGAACAGATCGTTTTGAAAAGCTAATGGGAAAATAATTTTTTCTATCTGTTATTTTTGTGATGGTAACTGAAATCTTCCTATCTTATTTCTACTTGGCCAAATGCCCAATTAAGATGGAAAGAATAAATAAAAAGTTGTTTATTTTTTTAGAGAATTAGAAAAATCGCTTACCAATTCCAATCCCATCATTATCGTCTGCCACAGTAGTTTCCATGGCAGTTTTTTCTAACACCAGTTCTTCTATGGACTGAAATCCAGCATTTGTTGTAACGGCTTCATCTAATGTGATGTAATCATGAACATTACAACCGGGATTAATTTCAGTAATTAACTCTTCGACTTCTTTTGTACTTTCGTCAATTTCGTCAACATTTTCGATTAGGTCAACGTCTCCATCTTGCTTGATTCCACATGCCGCAAAACATTTTTTAACACAATCAGGTTTAATATTTTTTACTGAATAATCAATCCATCTGATAGCATCCAAAACTGATATTTTTTTAGCCAAATCTCCTGCTGATTGAGAGAATCTCATATTCGCAATAATTGACCGCAGCACTTGTTTTCTGTAATGCATTTTGAAGTTTTGTATAACTTCATGATCGAGAGGCTGTGTTTGACTTGTGGTGTTTGGTGGTAGAAAACACAATTTTATATTGGATAGTATTATTTTGGGGTGACACGTTGCATTATCCAAAAATAGAAGGATGTGTCGATTTTCAAATTTCATTTTTTGATTTAAAATTTTTAGCCACTGTTCCATAAGAACTGATGTCATCCATGCTTTTTTATTTGCTCGCCAATAAACTGGTAGCTGAGGCACATTGGTATTGTTAAAACATCGCGGTCTGAGGGATTTTCCAATAACTAGAGGTTTTTCTATTTTTCCGTCAGCAAAGGCGCAAAACAAAACGGTTAACCTTTCTTTAGATTGTTTGCCTCCTTGACATTTTTCACCTTTAAAGCACATTGTCTTGTCCGGCAGCGCTCTATAAAAAAGGCCAGTTTCGTCACAATTAGCAATGTCTTTTAGGGTATATCCTTTAATTAAATCTGTAATGTGCGATGTCCATTCAGTCACAGATTCCATGTCGACGTCCTTAGCTTCACCGCATTCGAAGCTTTATAATCTACTTTTCCAAAATGGTTTGCAATTTCTCTTGCTTTTTCTTGAATAATTGTTCCAGATACAGGAAGATTGCGAGACCTTGCATCCATAAACCATTCCAAAACTGTTGAATTTACGTCGTCGTGATATGATTCCTTTGGCTTTCTCTTAATATCGCCATTACCACCACGCATCCACTCTTCTTTAATTTTTTCCTTGTTTTCCAAAATTTCATGCACTTGCGTTTTTCCGCACTTAAATTGAATAACCAATTGCTTTGGAGTAAGTTTTTTTTGGTCACTACATTTAATTAAGTCCATTTTAGATTTTAGCGATAATGTATTCGTTTTTTCGGTTTGCCATTTTGAAATGTTTGCACTTTCACGGATAAACTCAAACTGCCGTACCTACACAATACTGGTTTATTTGTGTATTTACTGATTTTATACCTAAATTTCTGTGATAATGGTTCTAAGTATTGATAATAGCTCGCCCTTATTATGGGGCTTTCCGAAATCATAAACTAATTATGTAAACATCTATAAATTCTTTTATACCTGCAAAGCAATAACATAAGTAGGTTCCGGCTTAACAGATTAGGGAAATTCCATGTTCGCGTTAGATAGGGTTCCGGCTTATAAGCAATTTTTACATTACAATATGTAGGTAATCGCCAAAATTTCCGTCATACACAGGATTCCGTGTTACACAGGTTCCGGCTTACTTAGGTTTCACTGTACGTTCATGCCTACGTATTTTGGTATTCCAGTATTATTTATTATCATTTGTACATCTTTTATTAATGAAAACCTGAACTGTTTTGGTTGCGTTGTGCTTAATGCGCCATCTTTTTGTCCACTCGTTGAGTTTATTAGTTGCCTGTGTAAGTTTTCTGGTCGATTCTTTTATGGTTTTACAAATGGCAAGTATGGCGGTGTCATCGGCAAATGTGGCTACTTTAACATTTTGCGTTTGTGGTATGTCGGAGGTAAACAACTGATTCTAGAACACTTCCTTGAGGCACCTTTTCTTGCTTTAGTTTCTTTAAGCTTGGAATATTCTTCAGTCAAGTAAGATTTTAAGATGTCACAATATTGCTTAGGTAAAAGATTATTTATTTTATATTCAAGGCCCTATAACCATACTTTATCGAAAGCCTGAGCTACATATACAATCTAGGATGGGCCGAAAAAATGAAAGTTAAAATTTTAATTAGCTGTAGCATATAAAAGCTGCGTTTGATTTAAAAACTGCTTGTTATTTATTTTACAATTTTGCAATTATATTTTCATCCCTCTACCAGCCCCAAAAATAGCATAAAATAAAATTAAAATTAAATGAAAAATTTTAATTAGCTTTATACATTAAAAGCTGTGTTTAGGCATATACACTGCCTGTTATTTTTTTGAAATACGTTTGAAACCCTCTACCACTCCCTTAGAAAATGTATACAGAAAAAGAAATTTACTTTCGTCATGACAAAATTAAAATCCCGATTTTAAGTAGAATTGTAACCCTACTATTTTCCACTATAACAGCGTCCTTTAATTTACATTTTTTTTAACATCCCACTCCCACCCTTACATAAAGGTAGTACCTACAGTAAAGTGGAATGTCCTATATTTAGGAATTCAACCGATTTGAAAACTCGTATGTTGCCGACAATTGAACAAATGCTACGATGATACTTATTCATACGCTATGAACTAAAATATAAAAATATAGTAAAAAAAATAACAGGTTTTTACAAGTTTGCCTAAAATTGAAAATATTTTGAAAGAGGCATCAATTCCAACTGTTTCAAAAGACATAATGTAATTATGTGTGCAATTAATACGGAAATATTATGAAAAATATAAGAATTTAATGAGATATCCCAGAAGCAAGCGAAACTATGACAAAAAGAAAAATAGAGTGTCATAAAAAATTACTTGACATAGCTGCTTGTATATGCGATTTTTCTGTATGCAGTGTGAAAAGACCCGAAAAGTACCTACTAAGAAACAAAATTCTCTTTCTGATTAAAGATCTGTTAGAAAAAAGAGCGTAGAAAATGTAGATCGTGAAGAAACAATGAAAATATTGCAAAGAAAATTTGCAATTTATCAAACTACTACATTATTGTCAGGGTCAGAATCTAACCCCTCAAAATATCAATCCTCTTCAGATGATGACTTTATCAATCAAAACTTACCCTCTACCTCAAAAAATACTCAAATGAGAACAAAGTTATCTAGGTTAAGTCTTGTATGCGATAAACATGGTATATCTGATCAATCAGCTGCTGCGATTGCTAGTGCAGTATTAAAAGATGTAGGAATAATGACCGCAGAAGATCCGTTGAAAATGTTTGATTAAAATAAAGTGGAAAGAGAGCAAAAGAAATCTAGAAATACTGCAAGGAAGGAGTTTGAAAGTGATAACAGAAGAATAAGAAGTCTGCATTTTGATGGAAGAACGATACAAACTATGCAAGAGAAGCAAAATGGTAGATTATACAAGAAAACCGTTGTCGAAGAAGACGGGTAGCACAAAATTAATTCAGAACATTTTATCGAATAACAATTGGTCGAAAAGAAAAATGATCGAAAAGAAGAATGATCGGAAAAAACAATAATTGAAGAGAAAATTGATCGAAAATAGATTTGATAGAAAAAGCAATTGATCAAAAAACTATAAATATACATAAAATTAGGAAAGCTCAACTAATTTACCTAACTTGTGCGCTGGTTGCTTCGCAAAAACAAATATACAAAAAACTGAAAATAAAAGAAACCAACTTACCTAACTTAACTAACTTATACAAGGGCAATTAGTTAAATTTAAATAGCACAGGTTAGGTAAATTAGTTAATTGTTTTTTATTTTTCTCATTTGTTTATATAGCTAAGTTTTTTTTTTAGTTTTTTGTTTTTGTATATTTTTTTTGCGAAGCAACCTTCGAGGGCTTCAAGCCGTACAGGTTCGGTAAATTGGTAAAAAAAAATATTAAAAAAAACTTAACAAGCTTACCTAACTTGTGCAATAGCAATCAATAAAATTTAAATTGCACAGGTTAGATAAATTAGTTAGTTTTCAATTTTTCTCATTTTCTTACTTTTCTTATTTTTATAAAAAAGAAAAATACAAAGTAAACCGCGACGGTTGCAAGCCGTACAGTAGGGTGGGTCAAAAACACCAAAAAACTTAATGGAAAAATTGAAGGAAAAGTATAAAATTTAATTTTTTTATTATTTTAGTTGGCCATCAATGTATATAGAAAAATGTTTAGGGTTAGATGTATATGGAAAATGTATATATACAATATGTTGTATAAAATAGCCGAAAAAACCTATAATAACTAGATAGAAAAGTCAAACGCAATTACTTCATTAATTATCACTACTGTCATTTTCATAATTAATTTTTGCTTCTTGTTTACTAAACACATCTGTTCCTATTACTACATCTACTTCTAAATTCTCAACACATAAACGTTTTATTTTTATCATTTTACTACTATTAAAACAAATCCTCCTTATTACTGACCTACTTACTTCATATAATTTTTTCCCATTTGCACCTAGCAAAATAATTTTCGGTACTCTTATAATCTCGTTTCTTTCCTTTAAAAATGTGTTTTATTAACGAAGCCTATGACCCTGTATCAATTTAAACTATGATCACTTTATACCCTAAATTTCCCTGTACATACACTAATATATCTTCTTTTATTCATCCTTCAAAATATTTCCCCAAGTTTCATAAATTCCCTCGAATGCTCATACATACACAAACTATTTTTACTTTCCTATCTGTATACAGATATAAGGAAAGTATAGGAATCATGATTTTTTTCGACCTCGAGTTTTCGACGGATTTTTACGTTTTGAGGTCCCCTGAATCCGTTTTGACTATTTTCGCGATGATGTCTGTGTGTGTGTGTGTGTGTGTGTGTGTGTGTGTGTGTGTGTGTGTGTGTGTGTGTGTGTGTGTGTGTGTGTGTGTGTGTGTGTGTGTGTGTGTGTGTGTGTGTGTGTGTGTGTGTGTGTGTGTGTGTGTGTGTGTGTGTGTGTGTGTGTGTGTGTGTGTGTGTGTGTGTGTGTGTGTGTGTGTGTGTGTGTGTGTGTGTGTGTGTGTGTGTGTGTGTGTGTGTGTGTGTGTGTGTGTGTGTGTGTGTGTGTGTGTGTGTGTGTGTGTGTGTGTGTGTGTGTGTGTGTGTGTGTGTGTGTGTGTGTGTGTGTGTGTGTGTGTGTGTGTGTGTGTGTGTGTGTGTGTGTGTGTGTGTGTGTGTGTGTGTGTGTGTGTGTGTGTGTGTGTGTGTGTGTGTGTGTGTGTGTGTGTGTGTGTGTGTGTGTGTGTGTGTGTGTGTGTGTGTGTGTGTGTGTGTGTGTGTGTGTGTGTGTGTGTGTGTGTGTGTGTGTGTGTGTGTGTGTGTGTGTGTGTGTGTGTGTGTGTGTGTGTGTGTGTGTGTGTGTGTGTGTGTGTGTGTGTGTGTGTGTGTGTGTGTGTGTGTGTGTGTGTGTGTGTGTGTGTGTGTGTGTGTGTGTGTGTGTGTGTGTGTGTGTGTGTGTGTGTGTGTGTGTGTGTGTGTGTGTGTGTGTGTGTGTGTGTGTGTGTGTGTGTGTGTGTGTGTGTGTGTGTGTGTGTGTGTGTGTGTGTGTGTGTGTGTGTGTGTGTGTGTGTGTGTGTGTGTGTGTGTGTGTGTGTGTGTGTGTGTGTGTGTGTGTGTGTGTGTGTGTGTGTGTGTGTGTGTGTGTGTGTGTGTGTGTGTGTGTGTGTGTGTGTGTGTGTGTGTGTGTGTGTGTGTGTGTGTGTGTGTGTGTGTGTGTGTGTGTGTGTGTGTGTGTGTGTGTGTGTGTGTGTGTGTGTGTGTGTGTGTGTGTGTGTGTGTGTGTGTGTGTGTGTGTGTGTGTGTGTGTGTGTGTGTGTGTGTGTGTGTGTGTGTGTGTGTGTGTGTGTGTGTGTGTGTGTGTGTGTGTGTGTGTGTGTGTGTGTGTGTGTGTGTGTGTGTGTGTGTGTGTGTGTGTGTGTGTGTGTGTGTGTGTGTGTGTGTGTGTGTGTGTGTGTGTGTGTGTGTGTGTGTGTGTGTGTGTGTGTGTGTGTGTGTGTGTGTGTGTGTGTCTGTAGGTCGCATAACTCATGAACCGATACACAGAAAAACACCAAATTTTAAACTTAAGCTTTATTCCAACGTCTAATGAGCTGATTAGATTTTGAGCAGAGTCGGAACATCTAGGGGGGTACTTTATAAGTGGTCATTTTTATATTTTATGGAATATATCTGTTATTTACGTTTGGAGAAAAAAATTTTTTAAATAAAAGTTACTTCTAATATAATTATCTATAATTTTTGTTTTATACAAAATTTTCCTAAAATGGTCCGTATTCGAGAAATTTGACAAAATGTAAAAAAATATTTTTTTATAAAAATTGTTTAAATAAAAGTTGTTTGTTATATACTTCTCTATAATTTTTATTCCATACATAATTTCTCTAAAATGGACCTTATTCGAGATATTTGAGAAAATGTGTAAATTTCGAATTTTGAAGAAAACTCAAAAACGGATAAAGAAAAAAACATTAAATTTTAAACTTAAGGTTTATTTCGGCCTGACGTAAAATGATTAGATTTTGGACAAAGTCGGAACATCTAGGGGGGTACTTTATGGGAGGCCGTTTTTATATTTTATGGAATATATCTGTTATTTATGTTTGGAGAAGAAAATTGTTCAAATAAAAGTTACTTCTAATATTATTATCTATAATTTTTGTTTTATGTCAAAATTTCCTGAAATGGTCCGTATTCGAGAAATTTGACAAAATGTGCAAAATTCTGATTTTTATGAAAATTGTTGAACTTAAAGATGTTTGCGATATCGATCTCTATAATTTTTGTTATAACATGATTTTTCTAAAATGGACCGTAATGGAAAAATTGTAGGAAATGTGGTAAATTTAAATTTTCAGTATTTTAATTTTCAATGAATATCTATAGAAAAATATTTCGAGGTAGATGTATGTGGAAAATGTATATATTTACTTTATCATCTAAACATTTATGGAGGTGCTGCAATAGGTTGTACAAAATAACCGGAAAAAGCCTGTAATAACTACACATCAGATTTTTTATTTTATAAAATTTTGTTCATTTAGCTCCTTATTTATAATCTCTTGTTCTCCCATTGTTTCATTCTCCGATTCTGTCATTCGGACATTCACTCTTCTATTTCTCTCATTCCACTCATGACTTCTTGATTGCTTATCATACCGTCTTTTAACACCTCTTTCTCTTTCTCTATTTTCTCTCTTAACTCTTTTATTTCGATTATTATTTATGCTCCCATGACGATAATTTCTATCACTTTTATTCCAATTTCTATTGAACTTATTCTGATTATACCTATTATTCTGTGAATAAGTGCTAAATCAATTTTGTCTATTCACCAAGACATTATACCTAATAACTCTAAAATCACTTTTTCTAATTCTCCAATTTTCTTCACATTCATTGTTTAAAGTATTCCCCAAATTTTGTTCTATTCGTTATAAATAATTATTCAACGTATTCATTGTTTTAATCTTTTGTAATGCAATAGTTTCCATTAATTCTGGCTTAAAATATCTTGCAATGTATCTTATTATCTCCTCTTCTTTCACTGACAGATCTAAATATTACACTGTGCTATAAAGCTGCAGATCATAGCAGCTATAACTTGTTCCTCTCCTCTCATCAAACTTCTATCTATGGTATTCTGGTTCCAATCAACAAAATCTCAAACAATACTAAAATATTTTATAAAAATTAGTAAAAAAAATAAAAACAAAATAATTGTTTGTTTTCTTCTTATTATTCTTCTTCTGCTGTTTTGTCCTGCTGCTACGTTCGTCGTGATACTGGCTGTTGCTTTTGACCTGCTGCTGCTTGTCCGCCTTTCCCTGTCTTTGTCTGTCTCTGCCTGTCTCTGCCTGTCTCCCTGTCTCTACCTGTATTCTTTATTATATCTACCGTATGCATTCCTTGAACTGTATCTGCTTATCTGCTACATTTTCTGACAGCTGCTCTTCTTTATAATTTTATAAAACAAAAATAATTTTTTTTACTAATTTTTATAAAATAATTTAGATTTGTTTGAACCCACCCTAATATTGAGATTTTCTTGATTGGAACCAAGGACATAGCATAAGGAGATTTCAAAATCAATATATATTATCATAGATAGATGTTGTTAAAGCAGAACTAGCATCTCCCGTTGATTTACCCTTTCTAATACCATATTAATTATTTGAAATATTCAAGAATTTATTTAATACTGTTATTAATAAATTCTATATGACTTTACGAAATGAGACTAAATAAAATATAAGCTTTAAATTTAAATAGTAAGTACTTAAAATTGATATTAAGAGCCCAAACTTTGTGAGAATTTCTTTTTCTATATGTAGATTAATATTTTGCTTGAGCACCGAAAAAAAAACAAAATTTTTCGGAAATTAATCACCCTAATACAGAGTCAAATAGCTAAACTTTTTGAAGCAACATTTTCCAATAGACTATAGTAAAGTATCTCGAACACAGCAATATTAGAATGTATAAACTATATATATATGAAAAACTTAACCGGAAACAGCATATTGTAGGTATTTTTTATGACCTTACCTGTGCCTTTGACTCAATAGACCACAGCTTACTATTAAAAAAACTCAAAGGTATAGGATTAAGAGGAAAGCCACATGACTGGGTAGTCTCATAATTATTGAATCGGACCGATTGTGTTGTCTAACTGTTAGACAACACCTATTGATGGGGCTTCATCTGAATACAAGAGTAATGCATTAGGCATTCCCCAAGGTACATTGCTGGGCCAATATTCTTTATACTTTTTATAAACGACATTTCAAACATTCGTGAAACATCAGATAAAGCTGTTTTTTATGCGATGATGAGAAACGTATCAGTACCCTAGTAGAAAATGGAAATAACGTCACAATGGAATTTAAGAGATATTGTGAGGAAAATGGCCTTCAGTTAAATTGCGAGAAAACCTTATATACGAGGTTTCACCTAAAAATATTACTCCTGGCGAAGATTTGCTAATTAAACTTTCTGGAAAATCAATAGAAAGTACCCAATCAATGATATTTCTAGGTGTAACTCTTGATCCTAAGCTAATATGGGAGTTGCCGAAATCTATTTAAGAAATATGAAATAGAGAACTATAGCACGAAAAATAATAACTATTTATATATTGCCAAAACAAATAAGCAAAATTCTATGAATACATTATTTTGATCCCTATAATAAATTGTCTATCAAAATTAAATCTAATTATCAATTAGAGTTTTTAGAAACAGTTTAATGGAACATATTTTTTTGTATTTTTCTAACATAATTTGAGATATTCATTAATTCTAATGTGATTATTATATTTATATTTTTTGTTGTATTTTAATATTCGACCCATTTATCTCATTTTTTTGTTTGTCTTGTATGAATATTATAGTTATCGAATTCTTTAATGTGTAGATGTTAGCTATACATCTGCCTTTTTAACACAGTAACATTGGATCCAATAATATTAATTAAAAAGACAAACAACCTGCGAGATCGAATATGACAATAGATTTCGGTATGGACACTATATTTCTTCTGTTACTTACGATGTGTCTAAAAAGTATCCTCCCATCCAAGCTTGTTTCCCTATCCAACATCTTCCATTTTTATAATCTTTATATAGATCACAAGTTTTTGCTACAAAATTCCTCGTACAAAGAGATTCTAAATAAAACTCTACAGCCATGGAATGAGCACATTTCACAGCCTTAGAACCTTCTGGAATTATGGCAGTTTTGAAAAAACTAAAATTATGAGTGACGCACATAGGCTGCTCGATGCCACCGTTGGGATACCAGTCAGAATGTGCTAATGGTGGCAGATAACCCAGTAAGCCACCATTGGTGTGGATTGCTTGGACGTATTTTCCGGAATCTGTTGATAAACGATTTGATGTTTTGAAAGGTGTAAACGCTGGTCCTGCAGGATCAAGACCTAAAAAAATTCACGTTTATTCTACACAGAGTTATTGCAGTTTAACGAACTATTTGGCTTAAACTATACTGTTTTTAAACTAGATATAGGGAAAAGTAACTAAAAAAATAACTAAAAAGTAACTAAAAAGTAACTAAAAAGTAACTAAAACGTAACTAAAATAGTAACTAAAATAATAACTAAAAAAGTAACTCGATACCATTTTAGCGGAATAATTGAATCTGACTTTTGAGAAAAATATTTTGAAAACTTGTTATGAATACATTAATTTCAAATGTTTAAATAACTGACGTACGTGCCATTTTTGATCAGCCAGGTCATACTCCTAAGCCATTTTCCGATACGCCTATGCTGGACGAAGCAGACGGCTTGTCTACGAACAGTGTTAAGCTAACGCCGGAAGAGTTGCATAACTCATCTAATACGTTTAAAAATATCTTTAAGTTCTTCGAGAATAGTGCGGTGCGCAGCATTTTCGTATAAATAGGCTGTATCGGAGATGTTAAGTTGAAATCAAGACACAGTTAAAGATAGACATACAAATTGTTACACAAATAAGATTTATAAGTGTGAAATATAAATAATCTAAATATGTAGGCATGAAAAAAGTAATAAGTGTTTAGTGTATATAAATAAATTAAAGATAATAAACTGTTTAAATTAAATAAACTGTTTAAAACAAATAAACGCTACATAATCAGCAAATAAAAATACCATCGCTAAATTTTTTAATAATTTTAAATTCTTTTAGTTTTTCGCTACTTAGGATGGTATTTCTGTATAGATCGTAGCTCGCAGCTTGCTTCAGTATGACAAAGAGGACTGAAGCACCGACTAGTGTAGTGTATGGGAATGGGGTGTTAATACACTGCGACCTAAAAGATCTATTGTACCCCCCACTGTCGCTAATGCAGCAAGGAAATGCCTTATTGCCTATAATGACCCTTCCAATCCTATCTTCTTAAGGAAGTGTAGGATTTGGAGTGACTTCAAGTTAGGTAAATCTTCCTCGTCTATTTGATATGCTCCTAGGTATAATGTCTTTGGATTCTAAAGTGCTACACATTCAGTTAGAATGTGAATGGAGATTTCGTCCTCCTTCTCACAGAATCTGCATTCACTATCTTTTACTACTCTTAGTTTACTAAGGTGTCCTTTTAGTCGGCAATGCCCAGTAAGGATCCCTGTTGCAATACTTAGCCTGTTCTTGCTTAGGCATATGCAGGCTTTTGATCTTTTCTAGTTATATTCACCCAGAAGTATCTTAGCCTGCCTCAGCTCCAAGAGATTGTTCCAATTATCGGTTCTTCTACTGCCTAATTCTTTTTTATCTCTCCCATTATGTTACTGCTGATACCGTAGTACGGCTCAGGTCCCACAAAGGTTGTTTGTGCCCTTTTCCTTGTTTGCGAGACTATATGCAATCTCGTTACCCTGTACCCCGTTATGTCCCGGGACCCAAGTGAGAGTAACTCTATTTTTCCCACTTAGCTCATTCAATTGTTCTAGGCATATCCAGACCATTTTTGAGCTGATTACGTAAGAGCTCAGCACTTTGAAGGCTGCTTAGCTATCGGACATAATGATAATCTCTTGTCTACGATAGTTTCTTTTGATGGTAAACTGAATACACTTCCCGATGGCGTGAATTTCCACCTAGAAGATGCTTGCGTATTTTCTTAAGCTTTCAGAGTGCTTGGTTCTCGGCCCATACACTCCTATTCCATTTCCTTCTATGGTTTTGGAACCATCCTTATACCACTGAATAGCACGTCTTTCGGTTGCAAGCGCGATGGATACTTGGCTCCATTCTTTCTTGCAGCCCAGCTCTGTGCTTTTAAAGTTTTTTACAAAAAACTTTATCATTTCATCCTGTGGCATATACCAGGCATTTTTGGTTCTGAAGCAAGTAGACTTTCGTCTGGTTACTCTGTTTCTGATTATTCTATATCGTGTCATTTTTGCCACATTCTCTATCATTAAATGTAGAGGGGTGAGGTCAATTCCATTTCGGCCGTAGGGCAGGTTCTCAATGCACCGACGATGCAAACACAGGCTAGTCTTTGTACTTTTGAGATCTTAGCTCTCGTAGTAGCTAATCTAGTTCTGTTACTCCAGGCTGTAGCCCCGTAAGTGATGATTGGTCTCATTATTGCAGTATACATCCATCGCAGTATGTTCGGGTTACATCCCCATCGTTTACCCGCAATGTTTCTGCATACAATTAGGGCTTATGTGGCCTTATTTACTACTTCCTTCTCATGTGTTCCAGAGAAGTTTGTTGTCCAGGGTTAGGCCTAGATATTTGACTTAATTTTTCCATTTAATATCTATTCTGTTTAATTTAACGGTTTTGAGATTAAGTTGTCATTTCCTTGAAAAGCCTGCTAGTGTTATTTTTGTAGCACCGATTAAATGCTGTTAAATTTCCAAACTTAGATTGTTCCCTGTGCGATTTGTGTAGCTGGAATTTCATTGCTGATTTTTTGAAAACAGATTTTATAATTTTGTGTTATATAAATATATTTTCTAATTAGTATTAAAATGTACTGTAGGATAGTAATAAAATATGGCTCAATTTGATTTAAATAAAAATATAACAATTACTTTAAATAAGTAATATATTTTTTAATTTGAGATATTATTTATGGATTAAAAATATATTTTAAGTATTTCTGCATTTTTTTAAAGAAGAACCCAAAGCAAAAATGCAGTGAAATCCAATCATGTCAATGAAATGACATTTGATGGGCCTCCGGTCATATTTGAACACTTGGTCCAAACAGCACTATTAAAATGTTCATGTAGAAGAGCGTCATGTACATTTAACAATAAAGTTTTCATATGCACTGTTAAATTGCACTTTAATTTCACAGGAAAATAATTAGACGTTTGCGCCATTTTTATTGCACAAATTCACTTGATCGATACCGCTTTTTAACGCCTATTATTACAGAACTAATAATTCTGCGTGTTACAATCATAGGACTCTACAAATGTAGATATAAACTAAAATAATTTACAATCTGCATAACACTTTCTGCCAATTAAAAATTTTGATTCTTCCTAAAAAGGTTAAGGGCTACTTAAACTGATCTTGAATTATAAATATTTTCTACCTGTAGAGATAAAATAATTACCTTATTTTTGTTAATTAAAATAACCCATAATTTAAGACAAGAATGGAATGAATTGGCATTTTTAAAATTCTAGGAAGAAAACCAAAAATTTTGTTTTGGAACAAATAATGCTAAACATTTTATTTTAGAAATTCTCTGTCACTGATTTATGATGCTATATTGAGGTTTATTTCTTTGGTCATACAAATTTGGCTATTATTTATTTTCAAATAAACTATAACTTAGCATTGGAAACATCAAATATAGACAATTTAAACTTTGCAAAAGATACGTTGACAATTGTCTATTATGTATTCCTGCAAACCAACTATACTCGTAATACCTTTCACAATAAAATTCAATTTACACTACTATTAACCTTTTATTTTTAACCTTTTTGATTTTAAAAAATACACGAAATACAGCACCTGGGCTAGATGGGTTAACCTATAAAATTATACGGAGTGGTCCAAAAGTCTGGAAACGGCCAATTATCTCGTAAATTGCTAATCTTAATTGTACAAAATTTGGGGTACACCTATTTTGGGATACCGTGATTCCAGATTTGATATTTGCAATGTTGCCAAATTTGCCATTTTTCTTAAATTATTAGTCACTTTGGTTTTTTAAATTCATCACCCTGTATGTTATGTTATGTTGAGAATGCGGTGTTAATACACTGCGACCTAAAAGATCTATTGTGCCCCTTTCTGTCGCCACTGCACTAAGGAAATGTCTCAATGCCTATAGCGACCCTTCCAATCCTATTTTCTCAAGGAAGTGTAGGATTTGAAGTGGCTTCAAGTTAGGTAAATCTCCCTATTCTATTTGATATCCTCCTAGATATAGTGCCCTTGGATTCTGGAGTGCTACATATTCAGTTAGGATGTGAATGGAGGTTTCTTCCTCCTCCTCACAGAATCTGCACTCACTATCCTCTACTACTCTCAGTTTACTTAGATGTCCTTTTAGTCGGCAATACCCGGTAAGGATCCCTGTTACAATACGTAGCCTGTTCTTGCTCAGGCAGATGCAGGTTTCCGATCTTTTCTGGTTATATGCACCCAGAAGTATCTGGGCCTGTCTCAGCCCCAAGAGATTGTTCTAAGTATCGGTTCTTCTACTTCCCAATTCTGTATATTCAGTCATTATTGAAATCTCCTATTCAATATGAGTTCAACCATATGTAACACTTATGATTTTATGTAGTCTAGAAGGTCTTAAATAAATAAAATAAGTCTGGCAACGCCTAATGGTCTCAATAATTTTTTTTAATACAAACTATTTTCAACTTCATTAAAACATAAAAATTGAAAGATTATAACATTTTTAACATAATGGTTACTTTAAAGTGTTCAAAATGTGCTCCATTTGTGAGTTGACAGTACCCTAATCGATAGAAGAATGCGTCTACCACATTTCTGCATGATTATCTGTATATAATTTACCACCCACAGCTAAACTCGCACTCTTAACAACCTTTAACAATTGGTGGATGAAACAAGAATACACAGAAAAATTTAAAAATATTATAATTTGTCCCATACTAAAACCGCAGAAAAATCATAACCTACCTTTATCATACCGTCCTATTATAGCATTAATATCGTGCATAACAAAAACATTTGAACGCTTAATTAAGTTAAGATTTCTTAGAGAGCAAATTATTGTTACCGACCTTTCAATATGGCTTTAGAAGTGGGAAAGGAACACTAGATGCAGTTTCTCATTTAGTGACAGATGCACAGCAATGTTTTGCTAAAAACGAAAACCTAATGTTTATTTTTATAGATTTAAAAGGAGCTTATGATGTTGTGGATTTAAACATACTTTACACAAAAATGCATAATATTGGCATAAACAAAAAGGTTTCAGCTAATA